CCCAATGTTATTTTTCAGTCAAACAAAGGATTTGTTTATAAAATAAATAATATCTCTCTTGATGAATGTGTTCCTTAGAAGAATCAACTATGTGAGACTAAAGGGACAATATTTGCTCAAAAGCAAAGATGAAAAGGAAAGAAGGGACAGGGAAATTGGAGGGATGGAGACGAGGAAGCCAGGGTTGGAATGGGGAGAGTCTTGACATATTGCAGGTGAAGAATCCAATGTCAATGAATAATTTGTGTATAAACTGTTGAATGGGAAACTAATCTGTAGTGTCAACTTTCACCTAAAATACAATAACATGTGAATAAAGAAGATAATGGAGGCATATTAACAGTTTTATTGTTGTAAACATAACTCTTTGGAAATCACAAACTGACTTAAAGTAGTAAAACGACCAAGCAAGAAAGAACACCCAAGTAATCCAAACATGTTTAGACTGAAACTTGGAGGAGAGAACCATGGTTAAACATCACCAGAACTGAATATTGGAGTTTACAAATGCTTGGAAAACAAACAGCAGAAGAAACATGTTAGACCAGACACAGTTTGAAGATAAAATGTATAATGTTTCAAATAGAACCACATGAGGAGAGTGTAGACATTAAATGATAGACTACTCAATGCTTTAAAGTTATTTGGTGAATAATAAGTTGATACATTCAAGCTTTCACCCTAAAATAAATGGGATAGTCTAGAATTTCAAGACTGTTTATATTTTCTGGGTGTTTGGAGTCTATCATGGACTAGTAGATTCTATTACAATGCAAAACAGAACTTTAAATTACGAGAAATCACAAATAAGTTTGGAATTTACTAAATAAGCATGGAAAAATGTGGTCAAATTATTTTTAAGTTTGTTTTGGGTATCAAAAAACCTTCCCAAATAGCTGTTTCATTTTGGCCTTGTTTGTAACAGACCACTGAACCTCTACTAAAGATTGTTGTTATTGTTAAGTCCCGTCAAGTTGCTAACTCACAGCAACCCTGTATAGAGTTTTTGAAGAGCAACTGGAGAGTTTGAACCCCCGAACTTGGGATTCAAACTGACATGGAGGTCCAGTGCTTACCCTACAGCACCACACCAGGACTCCTCTACTAAAGATAAGGAGCGGCATATGGGTTATACCCTGGCTGACAAGCAAATTTTGGCATAACTTTAGAAATGAATTGTAATAACTAACTGAATTAGATAATAAAAAAAAAAAATCCACTGAACAGAGAGAAAAATGTATGTTTTGAACATCCGTACTAAAATTTCTTTCAGGACATTTCAGTAAATGAAATGTTACTAGAATCTTTATACACAAATGTTGAGCAGGTGTGCAGATGGAGTCATATAAATAATCCAGAGTAGATACTGTTTATGTAATTTTGACTGCAAGTACAGTTGTATCAGACAACATGCATAGATGTTAATAATATGTAGCAAATATAGATAGAACTCAATGTCAAAATTGGCTCAAAATGACATTTTGGTTAATATTAAATTATCAAAAAAGTACCTTATGATGCACAGATTTTTGCCCCTGGGGACTACTTCTTAAAAAATCAGATATTTTTATAAATATTAAACACTTTGTTCTCTAATGATATATACATAAGATAAAATTATTATTTTTTCTTTAGTCCTTCTGTATAAGAGCAAGTTGATGTGAGATTCAGCTTGCAATACAGGTTTGAATTACAGTTATTCACTTAGAAAATAGTTTCCATGTAAATGTTAAGCTTATGGAATGAAGCATATAAGTTAAATTATCAAAGAGAAGAAAGAAATTCTGCCCAAAGACTGTTTATTAAAAAATGTAACATGCCTATTAGAGTGGTTGATGTCTTAACAAGGTAATTTTAAAATTTAGGATTAAATAGCTAGAACATCAGTGTGTAATTCTAAAAATAACAATTTTATTTATAGTATCTTCCTAGAAAGATTGATGATTATTACTGCTATATTTTTCATGTATCTGCCATGATTGTATGTAACTAAAGGATCATAGTGTTGTTGTTGTGAAGTGCCGTCGAGTTGTTCTGACCCATAGCAACCCTGTAGAGGGTTTCCAAGGAGCAGCTGGTGAGCTTGGACCACCAACCTTGCAGTTCAAACGGCTTTGCAGTCTGATACGTTAACCCACAGCATCACACCGGGACTCCAAGGGATCGTAATAGCAGTAGTTATTAGAGATGGTCACTCTGGAATTTGCTGTTAAGTGGCATCGAGTCGGTTCTGACTCATAGTGACCTTGTATAGAGTTTCTGAGGAGCAGCTGATGAGTTTGACCCACGGACCTTGCAGTTCAAATCAATCTTGCAGTCAAGTGCAGTATCCTACAACTCTTTACCAGGACTCTTGCTGTGGAATATGTTAGACCACCTAAAACATATCTTTGGATGGTATATTATCATAAGATTCTGATAATATGCTGTATGGAAGTGACAAGTAGGTTCTCTGTGTTCAGATACCATTCCCTTTAATTAATTAGCTAATGATTTTATTTTTTTTTTTTTTCAAATTCCTGGACATAGACACACTCAAAAACATTTCCATAAATGCCTTTTGACTTTATTTCTGGAGACACTACCCATTACTAATGAAGTCCCAGAATGGGATAAAGATATATTTTTAAAAAGAACTTCCTTTTAATAACTTTATTTACACCTCTGCATTTTTCATTCTTTAGGTTCTCAAAAGTTTACATATCTTACAGAGTTAAAATAAGATGTTTATTGTGGCTTTTAAAATGCTGACCTCATCTGCTATTAAAAAGAGCAAAATATCTCTGGCTAGCTGGCTATATGCCATCGAATTGGCTCTGACTCATAGTGACCCTGTATAGAAACCTGAGACTGTGAATCTTTACAGGAGCAGAAAGCCTCATCTTTTCCATGCAGTGCACCTGGTGGATTTGAACTGCTGACCTTGCTGACAGCAGGTTAACAAGTAACCCATTATGCCATCAGGGCTCCTTAAAATAGCTCTTGATAGAGTAATTCACCTCCAAACACCTCCTTTGATAAATGTTTGAAATTAAATAACTATTTAGATTTTATAACACCCTGGGGAACTTGAGTAATTGGGGGAAAATTCTTAAAAAATTATATTTTATTCACAAATCCAGGGCAAAAGATTTTTTCCTTTCAAATTTTATTTTGTCATATTCAATTTTACTTTAGTGAAACCACCTCATATTTACATCACATTTTCAAAACGAGAGTACATCTTCTATGTGGTAGTAAATATATCTATCTCTATGAATGTCCTTATTCTTTTTAGAGATTTTAATCAGGCAACATTATATAGTAAACATACAGAAATGATATATCATAAATAGGACATTACTGAGCTTTAAAGATAGATAAATACGTCACAATTTAGAAGCTACCTATAAATTGGAGTACATATAAACCAAGTATTATTGACAAATGAAAGCTGGACTATAAAATGTGCAATAGTGAAAAAATTCAGTTATTGGGTGGGATAGACTAAAAAAATGGGTTTTGTTTAGTGCTAGTTTGCTCTTGTAAACACAGTATCTTCAACTCTGCTAAAAACTCCTGGTTGATTTCTCCAAAATGGCAGCTGAGAGTTGTTTATTTATTTTTTAAAAGTACTGAAGTTCAATTAAAACTATTAGTTAGCATGGTATTACTTTACCAAACCATTATTTTCTAACTTTCCCCATTAAACATTTTCTACAAACATTTTTCAGATCCTCTACAAAAACCCCTCAAAGTTTATTTATACTGCAAGCTTGCTTTCATAGCTTAGCTTAAATAAATCATTTGAACTTAAAAGACATGTAATATAGAGCTGGGTACTTAACTAAAACCACAATCTGAAAATACAGTGCAGTGCCCCTCTGCTTAGCAGGAAGGTAGATTGCCACTAGTGACGACAACCATGTCCAGTGAGAAGGACGCATAGCAGGCTTTTCTTTATTAGATCAGAGCTACTGCTAAAGGAATAAATGAATGTGATATCCTGCAGCCTCACAAGAATGCAGTATTCATCAATATTCCATCTACTATTAAACACAAACTAGAATCAGAAAAGCTCTTGACTCCCAGAAGGAAATTTAACTGAAGCCCCATCTCAGCATTTGAGATCCGAAATTGCCAGTTTACCCCAGATGATTCTCATCTATTGCCACTCTCAATAGAGTTTTATCTCCCTGGAAACCTTTCCTAATGAAGTTTATTTTATCTACTGTAATTATAAGGAGCCCTGGTGCTGCAATGGTTAAGCACTCTACTGTTTGGCAGTTTGAACCTACCAGTGGCTCTATGGGAGATTAGATATGGCAATCTGTTCCCATGAAGTTCAAGCTTAGGAAACCTCATGGGGTAGTTCAAGTCTGTCACATGGGATTACTGTGAGTTGAAATTGATTTAAAGACACCAAACAATCACAATCCAGTTATTGAGAAAGGAGTGTTTGGTAGATTATGCACTTGACTATGAAGTCAAACTTTCCCTTTAATGGCTAGCTCTGGCATGAATTTAAGGATAGATTTTTTATTTATATGGACTATGAAACTGATAGGGCACCTGGCATGCATCTTGAATTCTTGCATCACATTTAGTTCTTTTGGAATACTGACTGAGCTATATGGCAAATCAAAGCAGAGCAAGAAATCTGCCAATTGCAATCTTAAGGCTGGTGTTTGTTTATGATAGTGTTTTATTTATTCTGCATGCTGGAGGTACACTACAGGCCACACAAGACCTTATAGGAACATAGGCACAAAGAAGATCCTGCCTCAAATTTTAGTTCATGCTCATTTCTTTACTATTAATAAGAAAAAAAGTTTACAAATGCTAAGGAGACCTCGCCTCCAGCAGTTTTTCCATTTATTTTTCTCAGTCTGCTTTCTTGCCTTGCTGCACAATTGTTTTAGAACCTGTTTGTTGTGCATCATAAATAACATTGTTTGCTTTGTGTATGGTAGGAATTGAATCCAAACCATAGTAACTGAAAAACTGTGCTGGGGTCCTGGCTACTTGGTATATTGTACTGTGCTGTACTTTGTGATCTTGCTTCTAGCTGTACTAGGGGAGGCAGACCCTAGGGTCTGGGTAAAGTGATGGTCAGAGGAGCCCCGCATGTGGCTAATAGTGGCTGACCCCCCCATGCTGCTACTCAGGCCTCCACCTCCACCCAGGCTGCTTAGACCGATGTTACCACCACTCAGGCCCCCACCGCCACTACTGCCTCCACTAATCCCAGCTATGCCAGCACCAGAAACAACCCTCTCTGTCACAAGCACATTGTGGGCACTGGATAACTCAGGGTGCATCCCCAGAGTGCCCATCATGCCAGAAGTTGGTCTGATTACTCTTTCAGTAACTACCATATTTGAAGACTCTCTAGGATCAGTGATGGTCAAGGAAGTGGGCAGACTTGAACCTGGTGCTATTACCCTTTCTGTCACAATAACATTTGATCCATCTCTCAGGTCAGGCATATCTAACATGCCATGGAAATCAGCCCCAGAGATTGGTCCAACCACCCTCTCTGTCACCAACACATTTGATGCATGTCGATTATCATGAATGTGGACAGAGGGCTTCAGAGTACCAGAGGTGGTGTACGACTCCGTCACAGTGACATTACCATAGCCCAGAGGGTCAGGAATAGGCATAGGATGCTGTACCCCAGGTCCCGAGGGATAGGTGCTCTCAGAAATCACTGTGGTAGTGCCAAAATGTGGTGGGTGTCCAATGGGTTCTAATCCCTGCTGAGGGCAAACTGGTTCTGTACTCTCAGGTGGCCATGAGGGATCAAAGTCTGGATAGGATTCAACTTCTTTGCCCAGACTGATATCTGCCAACCTCTTGAATTTAGGCCCCAGTGTATCCAAGAAACTGTCATCCAGGTCTTCTCCAATGAAGCTACAACAACCCACAGAGCCAGCAGGGGAACCTATACCTTCAATATCATATATGAGCAAACAGTCATTGGATGGGCGGCCTTCCTCTTCATCTGCATAAGCATATGCTTTCTAAATTTGTAGAGAAGAGAGAAAATAAATTATAAACATACATTTAGCAATAATAGAACAGTCTTCACCATTCATTTTCTTCCAGAGAATTACCAACAAATAATATTTGAAACCAAATTCTATGACCTACTTGTTGTTGTTGTTGTTAAGTGCCGTCGAGTCGGGTCCGACCCATAGCGACCCTGTACAGGGTTTCCGAGGGTGTAAATCTTTACGGGAGTAGAAAGCCTCATCTTTCTCCCGCAGAGCGGCTGGTAGTTTCGAACCGCTGACCTTAAGGTTCGCAGCCCGATTCGTAACCGCTACGCTACTAGACATTATTAAAATGATCTATTGTTGTTGTTGTTGTGATGTGCCGTGGAGTTGGTTCTGACTCATAGTGACCCTGTACAGGGTTTCTGAGGCTGTAAATTTTTACGGGAGCAGAAAGCCTCATCTTTCTCCCACAAAACAGCTGGTAGTTTGGAACAGAAATGATCTATTAGACATTATTACAACTTTTAATCTAATTACTAGTAAGAATTTGTTGGAAATGATTTCAACTATAATTCTGATAATAAATTTGATTTTCTCAAAGTTATTTGGATGTTACACTTTGTATACCAAGGGTTTAAAGGAATCAGTTTTGGGTCCAATTATACAACGTGTGTTTTTTCCTTGTATCTGAGGTGTTTCACAGTGGATTTGAGATCATTCAGAGTTGTGGTTTCTTTCCTTTATTGGAATAAATAGAATAGTTCTATGCAGACTCATTTCAATATTACTCTTTCAGCAAAGCAGCAAGAAAACTTGACTCTGGGTCTATGTCTTTTGGATTCAAAAGCAGAGCTGATCAAAGGCAATTTCTGAAAGTAGAATCTCCTTCAACTTAAAATGGAAAGCCACATACTTGAACTTCTATTTAATCTTTCTTGTTAAAAATATTGGATTACAGATTTTCAGGTAAGGGATCAGAAATTGTTTTATATCAAAGTAATTCGTTGTGTCTTTGCCTTAGAAAAGGATTTATTGAGTCCTTATTGTTTGCCAGGCACTTTGCTAGGAACTTGGCTAGGCAGTAATGAACAAATGAAATAAAATCCCTCTCTCATAGGCCTTACATGTTAGTTAGATGAGATAGACAATATATAAGCAAATACAGTTGATTATTATTATTTACAGTAGTTATGTTCTATAATTTTTCCATGAACGCTGAATCAGCCAATACCGAACCATACTCTTAGAGAGAAAATATAGGGTGAGGTTCCTGTGAGCCACACAAAGTACCCTACTTTACTATCAGATAATTGAAATATGAACACAGAACATTGCCTTGTTTGACCTCAGCTGCATTTGTATCATATTGAGTGACTTAAATTTTTTGCCACTCTAAAGATGTTTGTGAATGACCATGAGGGAGCTGTGAGTATTGATTTTAAGCTTACAAATATATTCTAGTGAGTAGGCAAATTTGCAAATACAAAATGAGGACTGATTATGTCAGGAGGTGATAAGTGTGGGGTAAAGGAGACAGAATGAAGAGATGGCCATTTTGGATAGGGTGATTGTACTAGGCTGAATGATGGCCACTCAAAAATATCAGCTTCAAATCTGTAAGACATTTAATGTCACCTTGTAATAAAAGAGGATTTTATAGATTTGATTAAATTAAGAATCTTGAAATGGGACTATTTAAATTATCCAGGAAGGATCTAAATATAATCACAACTGTTCTTATGAGAGAGAGAAAGGAGATTTGATACAGAAAAAAGAGGAGAATCCAAAAGATAGTGATGTGAATGAGACAAAGTTTGGGGTGATGCAGCCACAAGCCAAGGAATGCCAGCAGCCACCGGAAACTGGAAAAGGCAAATAATGAACTCTCCCCTTGATACTGTAGAAGAAGGTAAATGTGATTTTGTTTATAGTTTGATTGCAGTTCAGTGATAATAATTCTGAAATTCTAGCCTCCAGAACTCTCAGAAAAGAAATTGCTAGTTATTTTTAGCCACCCACTTTGTGGTATTTTATCACAGTAGCCACAGGAAACTGATAAGGTGGCTAAGGAAAGATCTTTGCTGAGTAGTAATATTTCATCAGAATGGGAATGAAGTGACAGACTGGAAAGTGAATAAATGTTCCAGGAAGAGAGAACTGCCCAATATAAGACTTTGGAGGCAGAACTGTACTTGTCATGATAATAACATTTAAGAACAGAGGCATGGATAGAAAATATTCTTCAGACTTTCAGCAATAAGTATCTTATTATTTATCTGTGGCTATTTGGCAGGATTTAACTAATATTTATTTTTTCAAAATATCAGCTACCCTTTAAATCATTAGGGGAATAAATGAAGATACTTTAAGTCAGACTATAGATGCTCAGAAATGCATGTCCAGTTGGCATTAGAGACAGGAGGCTCTATTAGACTTTAATGGCACATGTTGAGTAACCACAGACCATTGTATCCAGTTAATTCATCTACTGCTGCTTCTCTAGACTTCATACTTTTCCCATCACCTGTAGCTGGTTTCTAGAACGTTCTGGCAGTTTATGTACTTTGACTACTGAACCTGCTCTTATTTACTGTTTAGTATGTGCTTTGAGTCCTGGTTTGGCGCTGTAGGATAAGACTGGACTGGTAACCAAAAAGGTTGGTAGTTCAAACCAACCTGCTGCTCTGGAAAACCTATGAGTCAGAACCGACTTGACGGCACACAACAACAAACAACAACACATGCCTTGAAAGAAGTTTTAGTGATACTGTGGGTTAGACATTTGACTGCTATCCAAAAAGGTCAGCAGTTCAAACCCTTTAGCTGCTCTGCAGGAGAAAGATGAGACTGTCTGTGCCCATAAAGATGTACAGCCTTGGACGCTTTATATAGGCGCGTTATGAATTAGGATAAACTCAATGGTAGTGGATTTGGTTTAGTTTAGAAATACAATGATTAAGCATTTTACTGCTAACTGGAAGGATGAGTGTTCAAAGCCAGCAGCAGTTCTGTGGGAGATAGGGCATTCTGCTTCTGTAAAGATTTACAGCCTTGGAAACCCTATGGGGCAGGCCATTCTCCTCTGCTCTACAGGGTCGCTATAAGTTGGAATTTGACTTGGGTTTGGTTCAATGTGCCTGGAACTTAGCTTGACAACAGAAACACAGATGATATAGGAATGAGACACTCTTAGTGATATAAACAAGCAGATTTCAGCACTGTGATGTATTCTATATAATGTTTGAGCAAAGAGCTAGAGAAATACAAAGAAAGAAAGAAATGAATCCTCTTTTAGGTGAGAGTTAACAGTAAACACTTCAGGGCTAATGATTTTGAAGTTGGTCTTGAAAGATGAGCAGGAATGGTAAGAGTTATAGAGGAACAAAAGCATTCCAGGAAGGACACCACATAAGCTATAAGGACAGGCCATTAATAGACAGCATTAATAAGGTGAAGATGCTTGGCAAAGGGAGTTTGTAGTGGGGAATAGTTGGAGATGTGGAGGAAAGAGGTAAATTTGGGGATAAATTTAATTGCTGTGTTAAGGAATTTGGATTTATGCTAAGAACTTATTTCCACAGACAGAGTTGAGCTGAGAGCCACTGGCAATTTTTAAGAAAAGGGGTAGTAAAGTTGCTCAGGTTAGAAATATTACTCAACAAGAATACGGATTGTCAAGGGTGAAGACAAGAGCCTGGCACCTAGGCTTGCAGAAAGTCTCATGGAGAAATAGTGGAAACAGCAAGTGGGCATGAGGACAGAGAGGAAGGGATGTGATTAGAGGCCTTACCTGACAGAAGTAACTCTCCATGAAGTTCATATTCAGACCTCCTTCTCTACATTCCCTCATAGAATTTCTTCTTAATGTTCCAGAATATTCTTGGCAGATCTCAGGCATTCCAGATGTTTTAACTCCATTTGCTACTTCAAATCCTGATGCTCTTTCTCCTCCTCCCAGATCTTGCATTTCTCTGCCACAATACTCATTTGTATAAACTCCTAAAAGTGTTGATCAAATTAAATTTAATTTTTCTGGTATATTGTAAGCAACATAAAGTCGTGACTAATTTTAATGTAGTTTCTTGTGACTAAAAATAAAATGAAACGAAGAAGATACAAATATGATATTGCATCCAAAATGCTATTAATCTGTTTATTAATCTGGTAAAGATTTACTGAGAGGCTCCTTTGTACTGTTGAGGGAATGGGAAATTGGAAAAAAAGTCATAAAAACCTATTCGTTAGAGAGTTTGATTTCAAACAGATGGAAATTGGAAGGAAATACTCAAATTCTATGGAGTCCTGATGCAGTGCTATGGGATAAGCATCTGATTGCTAACAAACAGTAAGGTTAGTGATTCAAACCCACCACTTGCTCCTCATAAACCCTATGCAGGGTCGCTATTAGTTGGAACTGATTTGACATCACTTAACAACAACAAAAACGAAAATTCTAAATGTCTCAGAAAAACCAAAAACTTATCAGAATATCTCAGTGCATTGTTAGAAGGACTGGGCTGCTGGAAGAGGGAAGCACTGGTATTTGGGGAAGACTCCATGATTGAAGTAAGAGTGGGTTTGAATTATTAAATGAAATGAAGAACACATTGAAACCTCAGTAAGTAAGCACAGTTCTATTTTCATTGGGGCATTTTACAATTCCAGTAAAAGAGCCCTAATGATGCAGTGGGATAAGCATCGGGCTACTATCCACAAGGTTGGCAATTCAAACCCATCAGCTGCCATACAGGAGAAAGATGGGTCAATCTGCTCTCATAAAGATTTTCAGTCCTGGAAACACTAAGAAGCAGTTGTTTTCTGTCCCATAAATTTGCTATGTGTCACAATCAATTCAATGGCAGCGGGTTAGTTTTAGTTGACTTTAAAAAAAAATAAAAATTATAAATGATGTTTGCTCTATTAGACATGAAGCATTGACCACAATTGACTTATACTTCACAAATTCTCTCCTATTTATAGAGGTCCCAATCATGTCATAAAAGAATAATATTGATGGTATGTATTATTCCTTATCATTTAATTTGGTTATTAGTTATTTTAAAAAGTAATGACAATAAAAAGTGAAAGAGTAAGCTATGTAAAGAAAGAAAATAGGGGCTCTTGTTGGTCATTTGAGCTGTTAAAATGAAAAAAAAAAAAAAATTCTTACCTGTATTGTCAATGCATTCAATTAAGTTTGCATTATCAGGTAATACCTGAGGCACACAGATGGTGGTCAAGTCCTAAAAGAGAAGAAAAAATCCCCATTTATAATAACGCTTTCCTTTCTATAGTCATGCATTTGGTTTATTCTCAAATGACCACAAGTTTCCTACAAGAACACTATTTTAAAAACATTTGAAATCTATTGAAAATCGGAACCCCTTCATTTTCCCCATCATCTACTCCAAAGCAAAGAACAGCATAGATGGAGAACTGATAGCCAACAGCTTGGTTCATGTGTGTAAAACTGAGTTTAGGTCACTACCAAAGGACATATCTTCTGTATCAGCACTTACTCTGAGTTCGGGCTGTGGTCCTTCTACTGCCCATGTGTGAATCGCTCCATCTGAACATTCTGGAACCGGTTCAAAACCAGCTCCAACACCAGGGGCACCTCCACAATCACAACACATCAGCAAAAATGGAACCACTGAAGGTGGAAGGATTGGAATAGCAAAGTTAGCAGTAGGCCCATATTGACACAGTAACCTAATTTTTTTTTTTTTTTTAATTTTGGTGAAATTTGAATTCCTAATATAACTCCATTTGATTCTAAAATTATGAAAGTTTTAGGAAGCAAACTTAACAATAGCCAGACACTAAGATAAATGTGAGCTTCAGTATACTAATCTGTAATCAATTTTAGTTTGATATATTCTGAGTCCTGGCATTGTAGGATAAGCACTGGACTGATAACTGCAAGGTTGAAAACCCTATATGTGTCGCTATGAGTTAGAACCCACTTGAAGGCACAGAACACCACCACATTAAGATGGAAGCCATTGTGGCACCGTAGTTAAACTCTCAACTACTAAGCCAAAGGTTACTGATTAGAATCACAGGAGGAAGCCCAGACTGACAATCTACTCTCAGAGAGATTGCAACCAAGAAGACCCTCTGATGCAGTTCTACTCTGTCTATGAGTGAAAAAAATCTCTCTATAGCACAGTGTTCAAATTGCAAATAGTATCATACTATTTAAACAGGTAAGTCTTTTCTCCTGGCATTCACCTAGGAATTATTAAAGGAGAGAAGAAGAAAGCTGGAGAGGCAAGCAATTAATTTGATTCTCTGTGTTTCTACCTCCTTGCTTTATTTATGTTTCTCCTTTTCATACTGTGTAACTGAGTTCTTTATTATTTGGTATAAATTTCTGGCTCTTTTTAGTTTCTTCCCTTTCTATGTACACAAATATATTCATGTTTGTTTGTTTGTTTTAAGAGACGAAAACATCTTTGGCCTAACCTCTGCTTAAAATTTCCTGTTTCATATGTTGGATATTTGCTCTATAAAACTCTTCAGTTAGTCTTGTTTCTTATTTTAATAAGCCCTAAGACAAGGTGGAGTTCTGGTGTGGCACTGTGGGTTAAAGTGCCAGACTGCAAAGCCTTTTGAACTGCAAGGTTGGTGGTTCAAGCTTACCAGCTGCTCCTCAGAAATCCTACACAGGATCACTATAGGTCAGAATTGACTCAATGACACTTAACAACAAGACAAGGTGGAGTCCTGGTGGAACACTGCAGGATAATGCACTGGACTGCAAGGTTAGTTTGAATCTCAAAGTCAGTGGCTCAAACCCACCAGCCTCACCTCAGAAACCCTAAACAGGGCCTTAATGAGTTAGAACTGACTTGACAGCACTTAACAACAACAAGACAAGGTAAACTATCTCTTCAACAATGTCATTTGCTGTCAGTTGAAAAAAATTTTTCAAGTTTATATAAGGGAACTTCAAAAGGTTCACGGGTAAATATATTTAGTCTTTTATTAACACAGGACTGTGAACCATAAAGTCAGTTGTTCAAGCCTACTAGCTGCTCCTTGGAAACCCATACGGATTTTCTATGAGTCGGAACTGACTCTAAGGCTCTTAAAGACATACAAGAGTAGTCAGTCATCAACATAAAAAACCAATAGTGCAATTTTTATATTATTTACTATAGAGATAGTCAGCACTTGAGTAATTAAGAAATAATTTTTTTCAGCCTTGTTTCCTCTGTCATACATCTTTTGTAGTTCATTATTGCAATTTATTATGAGTCAGTAAGGATGAATTTGTATTACTTGATCTAAACATTTTTTGTTTCTTGATAAATTCTAAAATAAGGAAAAAGAGCCTCAACTTTAAGCTACATTATCCACATGTCCAAACTTCTAGTGGTTTTCATCAAAATACAAAAAGGGTGAAAACGTTATTTAAAATCATAGAAACCCAGTTTACTAATTTAGTGAAACATGTAAATTTCATGGCTGTTCATGTATGTGTTCCCTTTCTTTTGTCTATCAAGCTAAACTCATACTCATCACACAGCATTTGATTTCTCTACATAGCCTTTTCTGACTGTTTTGTGTGATTGTCCATATCCCTCAAATAGCAAATTAAATTAAGTTTCATTTTTAGCACTTTTTCATTCCACTGAGATAGACTGCAAACAGGTGTGTTCCTCCACTGGACTATCAGGGGCCAAGATGTTTTACTTTTTTCATAAATCCTGTGCCAAGCACAAAAATTTGTTGATTATAGCATGAAAGAAGAATTTGGAAAATACATTTTTATCAAAGGATTTGAAAACTTACTTCCTCCCACACAATTTATATATATGTTGTTAAGTGCCACTGAATCGGTTTCAACTCATAGCAACCATGTAAAGGGCTTCCAAGAAGTCACTGGTGAGTTTGAGTTGCCAACCTTAAAGTCAAGTGCTTACTGCAAGGTGCCACACCATATATATATATATATGAATGTTAAAGTACTTACATCCTAAGACCAAGAATCCCATGATGAGTAGTCCAATACCAGCAGGACCAAAATGTACATTATCTGAAGGATTTCGTCCTGCTGGGTTTTCGTCTATGATATGGGGTTCATATGTGTTGGTAGAGTCCGTGGAAGTATAGTCTTCATCTGTGATTGTACTGGTACCTGTTCCAGAATCAGTACCAGTTCCTGTACTTGTACTGGTGCCATCACCTGCTTTATCTCCATCTCCACCAATAGTAGAATCATCAAATTCAATAACAACTGTACCAGTACAAGTTCTTTGAGAAGCATCTGTAATAAGGTTCAAAATGGTAGAAATATTTTATACATTGAATTTGTCAACACAGTTGATCAATACTCATTTCAACATGTCTGTTCCCATCAATTCAGTAACTTCCCAAATTGTCCCCTGCTTATAATCCAGTTTTATAAATCAAACTATTATGAATATTGTTGTTAAGTGCCATCGAGTTGATTCTGATCTATGACGACCCTGCATAAGGTTCCCCAAGAGCTTGAACTGCTAACCTTGCAGTTCAAATGATTTTGCAGTCCAGTGCGTTAGCCCACGGTGCCACACCAGGACTCCACTTGCAGCTCCTGAAAAACTGTCTCATGTGTTGAGGGGCACCACAGTGAATGTCACAGTCTGCATTGGCTAGCTGTGTTACTAGATTCTGTGGAGTCATTTTCAGACATTAAGTAACATGCTCACTTCTCTGTATACTGAAGCTAGATGGTGTTTGGTGTTTGAATTCTTTCATTTTTGATTGCTGTTTTACTCTCTTCCATTTTCAGTTCTTGTTGATCTTTTTCTTTTCATGGAGCTAACTAAAATAACAGATTTTTAGCAGGATGGCTGGTAATTTCTATTCAAATAAAACAGCATAGCCTCAAACTCAAAAATCAACAGTTTAAGTAACTTAAAGAGAGGGAATTGTCTTTGGTTTTAGTAAGGAAAAATAAATTCTTATTGCAATAAGAAAATGAAGCACTTTTGTTTTACAAGCAGATATTCCAAACTTGCTTTCTACCTTATCATTCAAACTTCCAAAACATTAATGTTTTGTTGACTAAACACAGAGGGAGATACATTTGGAATATTTTACAACCTAATTGCCTCACATATTCTGCTTAGTTAAGCAACCAATATTTTAAAAAGAGGCTGACTGTGACTTCATTCTTTATAAAAGGTAGCACATCAAAATATACCTAAATTTATGTGTATTAGTGGTGGGATGTATATATACATATATAAGTACATACATATATATATGTATATATATATATGTAAGTATACTATATATATGGAGACCTTGTGGGGTACTGTAGGACAAATGCTGGACCACAAGGTCAGTTTGAACCTCAAGGTCCATGGTTCAAATTACCAGCTGCTCCTAGTAAACCCTATACAGGCCCCCCCAACCCCCTGAGTTAGAATTAACTCGATGGTGCTTAACAACAGAAACATAGAACAAATTAAATATATATACATATATAAGGTTTCTGAAGAGTGGCTGGTGAGATTGAACCTCGAACCTTGTTGTTCAAACTGACCTTGCAGTCTAATGCTTCTCCTACAGTCAGTAGCACCCTTACGCACAACAGAACAAAACACTGATGGATCCTGCGCCGTCTCACAATAATTACTAAGCTTGAGGCCATTGATGCTGCCACTGTTCCAATGCTTAGTTGGAGATTGTCCTCTTTTGCAATGACCCTCCAATTTACCAAGCATGATGTCCTACTCATGGCCTGGTCCCTCCTGATAATAATGTTCAAAGTATGAGAGGTGAATTCTGGTAAATTCTGGCTTCCAAGGAACATTCTGGCTGTTTCTTCCAACACAGATTTGTTGGTTCTGTCAGTCTATGGTACTTTTAATATTCTCCTTCAACACCATAACTGAAATGTATAAATTCCTCTATTTTAAGCCATGTAGATTAGAACAAAATTTTAATATTTTAAATACTTAGATCTTTTGATTTTATTATGTAATTATCTATAAAGATGTTTACTGCAAAAATCATCATAGCACTTTTGAAAGGAAATGAGTGATTTTTCTCTTCTCAAAGTATATACACACTCTGCTACAATTGCCTATAAACTCAGGTATGTAAGGCTATATTTTGCCCAACTGGAAGGGAAAAGAATTAACAATATTATGTGTCTACTATAGGTTTGAACTGAAAGGTCAGTGGTTCAAATCCACCAGCCATTCCTCAGAAACCCTATACAGGGTCGCTATGAGTCGGAACAGACTCTACAGCACTTAACAACAATAACATAGCATTTAAAGTGCACATACTTTTCACAAGAACCCTCTTAATTTGTTATTATAAACAACCGTACAACTATTACTAGTAATACAGCTTATAGGATTATTAGTTTTTACAATATAAGTTGTTGTTTCCTGCCATTGAGTTGGTTCCAACACACAGCAACCTTGTATAGGGTTTCCAAGGAATAGCTGGTGGGTTTGAAGTGCCGACCTTGCAGTACAAACAGACCTTGTAGTCCAGTGCATTATCGTATAATGTCACACTAGGATAATATAAGTTAGTAGATATTATATGTAATTTAAAAAGTATAGAATTATAGAAAGAAACAAAACAAAATTTAAAAAGCAAAAAACAAGCTCACAGTAGACCTACTCAAGAATAACCCTATTGATATTTTAAAGAAAAAAATAAAAGCTAAGAGAGGAAATAATGCAGTTATAGAACTTTCAAATTAATAGGAATCAAGTAGATTTCAAATAACAAATTAATAAAATAAGCCTAACAGTAACCCTAAAATCATGCCTTATTCTTAACCTTAGCCCAACTTCTACCTTTAACTGTAACTCTAATTGTAACCCTAACACTAATAAAGTCTTAGGCTTAGCGTAGGCCTAGCCATAGTCTTAACTCTTACTCCTAGCCCACCTCCAAAAAACCCCAACGAAATTGAGTAGGCTCATCTATTCACTAAAGAGGTGTCCTGATGGTGCAGTGGTTAAGCACTCATCTGCTAACAGAAAGGTCTGTGGTTCAAATCGATCGGGATGTCTCAATGAAAACAGACTATTTCAGCTTATATAAAGAAGCAAGACAGGATGCCTCACACCAGTAATCAAAATACAGAGTCAGAATATATAATACCAGAAATGGTACTGAAACTACTTGAATAGGAATTTATAAGACTGAGAGCGTGATTCGGAAACTTGCAGATGAAATCAAGGAAACACTAACAAAACTTTAAAACAATTTAGTAAATAAACTAACAAACTGACAAAATACATGAAAATCTGGAAACCATACAAAAAGAGCAATCCCAGTAATTTGACCTTCCCGTGATTCAGTTTTGCTTCTTTGTCCTTTCAACATATTATTTCTGAAGTCTTAGTATTAGTCTTCAACTCCCTAATTGCTTTTTTTGTATGTCTTGCTTCTTCATATAAGCTGAAATAGTCTGTTTTCACGGAGACAACCTGGTGGTGTATTTACATTCAATTGATGTTTGTACATTAGTGTGTTCTCAGGTACTCACCACCTATTTCCTAGTGGATGTGATAGAGACTGGAGGTCTGAACACAGTTCTCTGTTCACTGTTTATGTAGTTTCACACATCTCCAGAAGTAAGGATGGCATGCCTGGAGCCCACTCTCAGGCAGAGCAGGGTCTGTGCAGGATGCGGTGCCACTGATTGGTGGGTTGGTGAGGGCAGGGACTGGCCATGTCCTCAGTTACCAGGAGTAACAGGAACAAGAGATAGCCTCACCCTCCTTGCCACCAACCTCCAGCAGACTCTTGTGCTTACAGAATGGTGTATCAACAGCCCATTGCAAAAACTCAAGGCTCACCTACAATCTGCTCATCTTTCTTTGCTCTCACTGCTGTTCTTCAAGCTCACACTCAATACACTCTCAGTCCTAGCCTGTGAATCTCAGGGTACTGGAATCACCATCTATCTATATCTGTTTCACTAAGTCACCCATGGCTTTGTTGCAGAGTCTACTCAGTATGTCTGTCTACTCTGTCATCTTGTCGTGGAATCTTCTAATTTTGTTGTTTTTCAAAAGTTATTTAAATATGCTACTTGTAATTTTTTTGCTTAAATGTATACAACAACTTTCTAAAACATTGTGTAAAGGTAAGTTAAATTGATTTCTGATAAAATGATTGTAAAACTTACATTAAATGAATATAATTTACAATATAGTGTAACATTTTCTGTTACTGATGTTAATAAGAGCTAACATTTATTGAACACTAGCACTTCTCTAAGTGTTTTAAAGATTCTAACTCTAATTTTTCTAAATTTGTGCTATTATTATTGTTTCATGCTACAGAAGAGAAGGTTGACACATAGATGTGTTAAATAACTTCTCTGGCATACCTATAGTTAGTAAGTGATGGTTCAAGATACCTGTCCAGTTTTATCCCAGAAGTTTTGATCTTAGCCATTAAATTATATTGACTTTCATAATGCTACAGATCAGATATTATAATGCCCAATATGGCAACATTTTTAAAAAGTACTACTGCAAAATACTAAAAATGATTTAAAATTAGTATCCTAGTCAATATACATCTTTTTCCAAAGGAGAAAAAGTTAAATTGATATCTTACCATCTATAGATAGAATTGTTCCTTGGTATCTTCCCCCAAGCATTTGATATTGTTCCCTGGTAACTTTATTTACCAAAGTAAGTATTCCTGTTCTTGAATCAATAGCTAGCAGGTTACCTGGATTAGTTCCCATTACATATCTGTATTTTAAAGAAAACAATATAAATTCATGTCAGCTACCTAAAAAAAAAATTACACTTGAATTACAAAATGTATTGTTCAGTCCGTATTTGTAGCCCTTGCATATAGTCTTCACTCATTAGAGTCATTTTCCCCACAACCCCCGCCCCCCCTCCCCCAGTGTGGTTACAGCTGTTTGGATTCATTTAATAGTTGACAACAATTTAAATGTAAAAAAGCAGAATTACTGATTGGCCATTTCTAATAAACTGTCTTTTTATGCCCAGTGGATGTCAAGATAATCCACTTAATCTCATTTTCATATGATTTCGGTAGTATCAGAACTACTGGAAGATAGATCCTGGGAGTTCCTAGGCTGCTCCTAATTCTAAACTGCTCTCTTATCAAATAAGTCACATTTTCACCATCTTGATTTTCACCCTCTCTATGTCCACTCCTTCTAGCCACATATACACCAACTTTACAGGACTGCTTTTAAATCCCAAACATTGCTTCTAGTCTCTTTTCTTTCTCTATTCTCTTCCCCTCCTCATCTTTGACGTCATCATTTTCTTTCTCTTTCACGTATGTGTTAAACAAACACTTGTTAGACAACTCTTCAGACTCAGGCATTGTGCTAAGCTCAAGGAATGAAACTTGAAAGAAGAGTGTGGCCCCTGTCCTCAGTGAACTCCCACCTGGGGGTCACATCTATGCTGATGGGTAATGGAGGTACAGTGTGGTAAGAACTATAACGGAAATATTACATGTTATAAGTAGAACACAACATTTAAAACTTTGTTATTCATGATCAAAAGTGCATGTGAAAACACTTATACACATACACATATATTCTTCATGATCAAGTATAAATATTTGTATATATTAAGTTTTAAAACTTACAAAACATAATTTCTTAATATAGCTAATTTTCATACTAAAGCTATTGACCAATATTATGTAGAATTAAAGAATGCAACTGAAATAACTAAATCTTACTGATTTCAAGTTTGGCAAATTTTCAGTGGCAAAATCAATCCCATAAAACATTCCAGAAGGAATAACCGTGCTGTTGTTGTTAAATGCCATTGAGTCAGTTCCAACTCATAATGACCCTGTAGAGGGATTTCAAGGAGCAACTGGTGGGTTTGAAATGCCAACCTTGTGGTTAGCAGTCCAGTGCTTATCCTACAGTGCCATACCAGGAGGGGTAATCAGCTTACTGATAAATACAATGTCAAAAACACAGGAATGTCAAACCCTTTAAGTTATAGGATTTTCATGTTTTACATCTTTACCGTTTTATACTTCTACATTTTACATCTTTACCGTTTTATACTTCTACATTTTATATCTTATATCTTACATACATCTTTATATTTTCTTAGCTTACACACTAAATTAAATAAGAATTCCATAGTTGCTGCTGTTGTTAAGTGCCGTCGAGTGAGTTCCAACTCATCGCGACCCTGTATAGGGTTTCCAAGGAGTGGCTGGTGGGTTGAACCACCAACCTGGTGGTTAGAAATTCAGTGCTTATTCTATTATTCCATACCAGGACTCCATTTCATAATTGCATACTAAATACTTTTTATAAGAGAACTATAATTTTAAAGCAATGAAAAGGATTTTAATTCAAATATTTAACATTTCTACAAAGAACATATGTACTTATGTTCAGTATCAAAAGCCAAATCTCATTGCTGTAGAACAAAACACATTTTTCTCCCATGAAACAATTAATGGGTTTGGATTTCTGACTGAACACAAATATGCTTGAGATTTGATCTCAGTTTACATCATAATTTAAGAATTCCAATTACGGATGTAAGCTCCAGGGCTCCTTTTAAAGCTCAATATGTGGAGAAAGTTATTTAGAATAGGGTATTCTTACCTGACAGTTGTTGAAGGTAGACCTGTGTCCAAATCAGTAGCTATGAACTCTCCCACTTTATAATTTTTTCCCATATTTCCAGTTACGACATATGTCTTTGAACCGGGACGGAACACTGAACCTTCTATTAAGTTGCCCACTGTTACTGAGATTGCAGTTGCTGTGAGTTTATATTGAGACATAATTGAATGATGGAATTCGGCTTTGTTTCTAACACCAATGCTAAGTTGAAGATTCTGTGCAGCTTCATAATCTAGGGGCTAAAAAAAGACAAAATGAAATAGGTGTATAGTGAGAAGAAAGACATTCTTAGAGAAAGAACAAGCCTTTGAAAATGGTAAAGACAAAAAAACCCTAAAAATGATATATAGTCTAGTGTATTGTTCTTGTTGTTGTTAGGTGCCATTGAGTCGGTACTGACTCATAGCAACCCTATGCACAAGAGAACAAAACACTGCCTGATCTTGGGCCAACCTCACAATTGTTGCCATGCTTGAGCCCATTGATGCTGCCACTTTGCCAATTCATCTCACTGGGGATCTTCCTCTTTTGCTCTGACCCTCCACCTTACCAAACATGATATCCTTCTCTAGAGACTGGTCCCTCCTGACAATATGTCCAAAGTATGAGAGACGAAGTTTGGCTGTCCTGGTCTCCAAGGAGCACTCTGGCTACACGTCTTCCAAAACAGATCTGTTGGTTCTTTTGGAAGCCCATGGCACTTTCAATATTCTACTCCAACACCATAACTCAATGTTCTTCTTTATTCACTGTCCAGCTTTCGCATCCATATGAAGCTATTGAAAATACCATGGCTTGGGTCAGGTGCACCTTAAGTCCTCAAGCTAACATCTTTTCTCTTCAACACTTTAAAAAGGTCTTGTGTAGCAGATTTGCCTAATGCAATATGTCATTTGATTTCTTGATGCTGCTTCCACGAGTGTTGATATTTGATCCAAGAAGAATGAAGTCCTCGACAACTTCAATCTTTTCTCCATTGATTAGAATGTTGTTAATTGCTCCAGTGGTGAGGATGCAATCCATATTGTAGGCTGTGCTCTTTGATCTTCATCAGTAAATATTTTAAGTCCTCTTCACTTTATAGAGACATACAATCTGGTCTTATTTTCTTTATCTTTAATCCGATTTGTTATAGTTATTATGAATGCTGTCGAGTCAGTTCTGACTCACAGTGACACTGTATAGGCCTTCTGAAGAGTGGCTGGTGAGTTTGAACTGCCAGTCTTGCAGTTCAAATCGACTTTGTGGTCAACTGCTTGTGCTATGGTGCTACACTAGGACTATATTCAAAATTGAGTAAGGGAAAAACAAAATAAAGCAAAAAACAAACAAACAGACAAACAAAAAAACACTTGCCCTAGAACTATTATGGAAAAAGTTGGAAACTTATAAGATGAACCCTAGTTGTTCAATAAAAATTAAAAGCTTAAAATAATAGGCAGTAACATTCATGCATTGTGTAGTATAGGCAAAGAAAGGACTTGTTAACTTTTATTACATTTTTCTCAGAAAGTGTTTCATTTTTTAAAAAATATGCATAAATACATTAACAGTTCAATCATTTGACTGGCTTTATCCATAAAGAACTACTTTAATGACAATTTCACATCTCTACAATTGGTTCTTTCATTAATCAGGCTATGGTGGTAGTGGTGTATTGTGGTGTTGTTTCTGATGCATATTGACCCTGCATAGGGTTTCTGAGGGTGTAAATCTTTACTGGAGCAGAACTCCTCATCTTTTCCTTGGAACAGCTGGTAGTTTCAAACTGCTGACCTTAAAGTTAGCAGCCCAACTCATAACCACTATGCTACCAGAGGGGACTTCAGAAATGTTATGGAAAAAATGAAATGAAAAGATAATGGGATTGTCCCACAAACTCTTCTTGAAGCCCCCTTATACATGATGAATATTCTTGGTGAATAAAAATTGATTTACAAAGTTGACATGGACATTATGTAAATTCATTTCTAAAACAAAATTGTAAGAATTTATGTTGTATAATTATAATATCTTTGTTGTAAGCATAAAATCTATTTTTTTTTTTAAATTCTTTTGACATATATGATCTATGGGGGAGTACTATATTGATAGAAAAGAGTTTAAAGATAAAATTTAATGCTAGTTTTTCTGAAATAATATAAAGAAAAAGGCTTTTCATGTTAAAAAAAAAAAAGCTAGCTTTATATAAGATACCTTTTTAAAGCAAAATCATTTGCATTCTTTCACTGACTTGAGTTTTCATAGTATCAACATCATTTTATGTTGAACTTAATATTTTGAAAAAATGATCAAGAAAACAGAAGATTTAGGATAATTATACCATACCTTAACAACCTTTAAAATTCCCACATTTGTTCTTTCATTCATTTCTATTTCAAACCATCCTCCTTCGTTTCCAGAGATGAAGAAAGGAGCTGCTATCCAGTTTGCTGAGTACTCCTCATCCAAATCAATTATTCTTATCTGGAGCAGTTCTGAATGCAGAGTATTTTCATCGATACTTACGGAATACTGAAATGAGAATTCAATAATTTAATACAAATTGAGTGGGGGAAGAACTATACTAGACTTAGACTAAACAGTTTATAGTTATTCCTTATTTTAAAAAGAGATTGATATGTACAGTCTCATATTTATTATTCAAAGCTATTCCCCCTAAACATTATATAAATCAACACAAGTAAATGATTAGTTGTGGCAAAAATGCTTCTGTAAATAAAATTGCTTGTACAAATTTTAGAATGTAATGAATTGAAAGTTGTTCATTTCAGAAACAGATACTTACTGAAGATTGTTCCAAGTATGGGATGTTATCATTGACATCAAGTATTCTAATGCTGCATTCGCTTTCTGCTGACATGCCGTCAATCCCACCATCTCTGTCTGAGCCTCTTATAGCGAGAGAATACTGGCTGTATTCCTAAAAACGCATATTATAAGCAATATAAAAGTTGATGTAGACGGTCCTTATTCCATATCATGCAAAGTTCTTTTAAAATGGTGGGTAAATATTTCAATAACTCAGAATATTGACAACTCTCAAATCCCACATGAATCAATACCGAATTTTATACTTTCATTTCCAACAATGCTTATTCAGCTTCCTTTAAATGAAGCAGCACTTTTTAAAGACCTCATCCTTTTCTTAATCATATTATGTCAGTGATTGAAAAAGTTTATCAGGGATGAAATGGACTGGAATGATCAGGAGAAGGGAGCTGATGGACATCTTGAGGTCTCTCCATGGACCTAGGTTAACAATATTTGCTTTGGTGGCTTCAAAGTGCAAGTTCCTTTACTTCTGACTTCCTTTTATCAGATCTCTTCACCACTGAAGACTTTTTGACATTAAAGGAAGCCCATAGGGCTCTTCAAGAAATTTTGAGAAAGAAAAAGCTAAATAGTTTCTTCTGATGATAGTTTTAAAACAAGCAAACAGATGATTTAAGTAACTTAGAAGTGTATGGCATTTAATTTGGATTATTAAATAGTGTTCAAATAATGTTGCTATATAGTAAACTTAGGAGTCAATAGCAGGGAATTTGTCATTTAAAAATAGCTATAATAACCCTTCCAAAAAAACCCAGACCCATTGCAAATAAGTTGACCTGCCCCATAGGATTCTCAAGGCTGTAAAACTTACTGGAAGTACACTGCCACACCTTTCTCCAATTGCATAACTGGTGGTTTCAAGCCACCGACCTTTAGATTAATAGCCAAGCACTTTAACCATGGCACCACCAGGGATCCTTCAATAACTGTAGTAATTAAAATTTAGTTGAGTATCATTTAGAACATTGTTGTTAAGTACCGTTAAGTCGGTTCCAACCCATAGTGACCCTGTATAGGGTTTCTGAGGAAAAGCTGCTAAGCTTGAACCACCGACCTTGCAGTTCAAATGGCTTTACAGTCTGGCACATTAACACACAGTGCCACACGAGGACTCCAATTAGTACATAGTACCCCTCATTTGTTTGCCTAGTGCATGCTGGTGAGCTATATTTCATTTAAAGGCAATAATCCTTTTTTTTTTTTTAAATAATGAAAGAAGATATTTTAAATTAAAGCATGGGACTACATGATGTGATAGAAATCATACAATGCTGATTCTAATCTACCTATTTTCTTATTTGTAAGTAGAAAGTTTAGACTGTTAATTTCATTTCTAGCCATCATTCTGGTCCTTAATTCATTTTCCCAAGTATTCAGTGCACTGTTAATAGGTATTTGTATAGGAATAATAATAATAATAAACAGAATTCTGCTTTCAGAAGAGATTAGGATATGCTGGATTAATAAAGGTAAGCCAGTTTGTTAGTCCATAAAAGTTCTCAGACTTTTATCATATTCATATGCATTATGACTTGCCAAAATGGAAATACAATATCAGGTTGTTTCTTAAACTAATTTCATAATAGAACATTTTTTTAATGAAGTTTTTTTTAAAGACATATTATTTTATTTTTGGTAAAAATTTATACAGAAAATTATGCTTGCATTCAACAATTCCTTTAAAAATTGTAAACGGACTTCCTTTATATTAAAGAGGAATTCTGATATTTTACTACTTAGAAGTAGTAAAGTATTTTAATAATGAAATTCTTTCTACCTTGTGCATGTTTTATGTGTTCTCATAATGCAGTTTAGATCATTTAAAATTAAGCCAAATCCTAAATAAGATTTAATGAAAAAATGACTATATGAAGTATATTTAAATTTTCTCATATTAAAGGATATTTCTTATGTCATTGCTATTATATGAAGACTATGTATCTAAAATCAAAACATAGTATTTTCCCATTTTTTCCTTATACACTTTTAATTCTGATCCTTTCCTTTGAGACTTAATAACCATGCAAAGAAAAACAATACCTCTCTGTCTAGAAAATTATTCATTGTTCGAATTTCTCCAGTGTATCTGTTGATAATAAACATGGGTGAGTCAGAAGGTTCTTGTCTTATAATCTTGAAGGCTATTTTTGAGTTCAAATTATTTGGTTCATCTGCATCTGTAGCATTTACTATCATCACCAGTGTATCTAGAAATCAAGGAAAATAGACTGAAAATGGACAATACATCTTTTTGTTATAGTATAATATATCAATTTCCTAACACAGTATTAGGGTTAGTTGGTCCATATAGTGGCCACATTACCATGTTCCTTTGCTGCTCCTTCAACACATCAATATCTTATCTCCTTTCTATATTTTTGTCTAAAATGTTCAGGGTATGGGACAGGGATACCCCCATTTGGCTGTGAGTGGCATTGGGGCGTGACGGGGGGGGGCTCTGTGTGAGGAATGTGGTGGTAGAAAGAGAGTAGTCTCTGATTCTCACATAATATTGGTTTTGAATAAAGGCGTGGTGTTTGGACCATAATCAGGTCAATAAATGAAGAGGAAGAGTGGGTGTAGTCTACAGGAGGCAATTGCACCATCAGACTGTGAAACCCCTTGTATGGAATGTTTTAGTTGTGAAGATTTTCAGGTGACCCGCAACTAGCAACACTTAAGAGCACAGCTTTAAATATGTATGATGAGCTAAATAGAATTAACTTTATAAAGTGTTTTACATATATAAAATCAGTGAATTGAATAAGAAAGCATTGTTGTTAAGTTCCATAGAGTCGATTCCGACCCATAGTGACCCTGTATAGGGTTTCCAAAGAGCAGCTGGTGAGCTTGAACCACCGACCTTGCAGTTAAAATGACTTTGTAGTTTGATGCATTAGCCCACAGTGCCACACTAGGACTCCAAGAAAGCATTAAAAAAAACCCTATTTATTGAATTATATATGTTGTTCTAGAGTCCTAGTGTGGAACTGTGGGATAATGCACTGGACCCCTAGGTCCATTTGAAATGTAAGGTTGGCTGTTCAAACTCATCAGCTGCTTCTCAGAAATCCTATATATGGTCGCTATAAGTCTGAACCAAGTTAACTGCACTTAACAACAGCAACAACAACATATATGGAGTAGGTTCTGATACAGAGACCCTGTACAGGTTTTCTGAGGAGTGGTTGGTGGTTTTGAACTGCTAGCCATGTGATTAGTAGTTCAATGTTTATCCTACAGTGCTACATCAGGTTATATATATATATATATATGGAAAATGCTTGCCTTGCATTTATTTGTTTCAACAAAAGCTCTTGGAAGTTGATTTTTATGAATAACTTTAAAGTAGTTAAAGCAAACAATGCTTCCCCCATTTTTTTTTTTTTAATTAACAAAGGCAACCTAAGCAGGCCGACTGAATTATCAGCTGATGGGATTGTTGCCAATATGCATAATACTTTGAAATTTCTCAGTAGGAATCTCCTCCAGAGCTAATGAGTGACATGCTAGACAGGAAGGAGCTGCCACCATAAATCCCAAGAAAGCCATTATGGTGATTTTCTGATGTCTTTTAACCAGCATGCTTTTCCATAGCTTATTTCTTATATTTATGATGGGGTACCTTGACATGCTTTAATCTGACATAGTTGCCTGACCGTCAAGAGTGATCTGGAGCTAATGTATTTTTGTTTACTTAAAGGAGATCACTTACTTGCATTAGAGTTTTCTTCTATTTGTCCTAGAAATGTTGTCATAGAAAATATTGGAGGATTGTCATTTATATCCAAAACCCTGACTCTGAGTTCAAGCGGCCTCTCCAAATCTTGGCCCATCGAATTCACAGCCCGACAATAGATCTAGAAGAGAAAAGAGAAATAATTATATTGTGCAACAAGTATTTCTTCAGTTCTCTCTTTGTGAGTTATGCTAGACATTGTGGGAAACCAATTAGAGCACAGGCACAAGCAAACGTAATGAGAAGCAAACACAAGCACAAAACATCATCTAAGAAAAGGTAGTAAGATATGTTTTATAAAGAAAGACAAAAAGAATACTATGAATTCATAGGAGGATATACAGTTGAAATAGATCTTGTGTTTCAACAAGTGAAGCTGAGAGTTGTTAGTGTTCTAACTCAAGGGATTCATGTGAGGAAAGGAACAGTAGGATGAAAATGAAGCCTTTGAAATTATAAATAGTGACCAATGAAGGTTTGAGGATGTGCTTAAGGAGAGTCAAATAAGGGATTCAAAGACATATTAAGAGTTCTTAAGTGAAGTGGTGGTAAAATGCACATTTGTATTATTTAGTTTTATATAAGATATATAAAAATGCACTGTGCTAATAGACTGGAATGCTGACTTAAAAGAAATAGCCTGAGCATTGGAAACAAGCTGCATGACCGAACGTGGCAAATGTCAACTATTAGAAGACAACAGAGTTCTTGTAGTGTGGTAGGATAATAGTTGGGGTATTTGAAGATAGCCTGGATATGAATTATGTGGGCTTAATAGAACATCTTCAATTACAGGATCAAATAAGGCTTTATTTCTTTATATATAAATTTTATTTAAAGTATTAGGAAGTGTTGGTTGTGATCATAGATGGTGGTGAAAATAGACAATGAATGACAACAACAAAAGTTGATGGAATAAGATCCTACAAGAAACATGCAATTATGGGATATGGGACTCTCTTAGGATAAATTGTGGGGGAAAGCAGAAAAGTGACCAGTTTGCTGTGTTCAAGGAGAGATAGAAGTAATTGCAGGTGTTTGTGGTGGATAGTCTCAGGCTTTCTAATGAAGTTGGCTATGAGGTCAGCTGCTTAAAATGGAAATGAGGTTAAATGAGTGAAGTGAGAACACTCAAGCTTATGACAGAGTCTGGAGAGAATGGAGTAAGATACATACAGCTAAGGATGGCTGAAAAGACTTCTAAGTCACATTTAGAGCTCAGGTGAATGTCAGCAATGTGAATTTATAATAAAGTTATGTTCCTTCAAAAAAGATTTCCCCAGATCAGCACATGGCACTGGTCTTAAATGGGGCCAACAATCTCAACAGATTTAAAGATAAAGAAGTAAAAGTTAATGTCCTTCCAAACAATAAGGTCAAACCAGAGGTTAGCATTTTTAGTTAAAACACTGAAGCATTTGGGGGGCATGTGATGTTTTTGGATGAAGAGAAAATCAGGAATGCCTGGATATTGAGGTTCTTGAAATCACATAAATTTTGATCTAACCTTATGACTGTTCAAGAATAATGTAGACACAAAGATGCATATATAAACATATATATAGATAGGCATATATATAAAATGAGAGACTTGGAGTCCACTTACAATGAAAAAAGGAGTGACCTCTCGATCAACTATGGATGTTATATTAATTTCACCAGTTTTTTCATTAATAATAAAGACTCCATAAGGTGGCTGATCAATTCCTACTCCAGAGATTCGATATGTAACTTTTTGATTTGCAGCACAATCTGAGTGAATCTGTAGGAGAAGAACAAATGGAAAATTACAGTGAGCAAATAAAGTTTTATTCTATACATACAATGGCAATTTTTGTTGAGAATTGTTGAATGTGATGTCGCTGTTACCAATTGGGAATGTTTTACTAGATAAGTGTAATAATTGCAGCTCTGGTGTGGAGCTGTAGGATAAACACTGAACTGCTAGCTACAAGGTAGGTAGTTCAAATCCACCACCAGCTCCTCAGAAACCTTATACAGGGTCACTATGAGTTGGAACCAACTCAATGGTACTTAACAACAACAGCAAGTTTTTCCAATGGTAACTGACATGTAATGAAAGGAACTCAACTTCTATTTCTAGCAAACAAGAGAAAAAGAAAACAATTCATCTCATTGGGGGCTTCCTTCATTTTCTTTGGCCCTTTACTAAACATGATGATCATTTAAAATCTTTTTTCTTTATATCTAGAATTTGAAGTGACATATTATATCCATTAATTTCACCAATGTGGTGAATCAATGTCTAATTTTATTTGAGTGACTAAAATTCTAGGTTTATACTTTAGATTCAGTTTTTGTAATCTGCATGACTATAGCCCAAATGTTTGTCTTAACTTTTTAATAAGGTATGTTCTTCATTATCCTGAAATATCAGTATACTTCCTTTTTTTCTAAAATTTGAAATTTATTTAGGAACTTGAACATTCTGATTTTTGACTTTGTGCTTTGAGTTGTTACTTACTTTGGCGATTGGATTTCTCTTTGAGTTGTCTTCACCTTCACGACAGGCTGCAGCGAACTTGATCCATTCACGTTTTTGCCTTCTGATTGAATGCCATTTGATGGTGCCATTTTTAGCATTATAATCTCTTACCTTGAATGAACATGATAAAGTAACTGTACCTATTAATTTATACTGGTAACACACATTGAATTGGACATTTTGGAGGAGGGATAATTATAATTTAGAAGGAGAGTATACTTAATTGAGAACATTGGTGATTTTGATAATCTATTGATTTTAGTATTATATTAACTTATAAGAATGATTTTTTTCTTTGGAAAATATAGTGTTACAAATAATTTTCATTAAAACAAAAAGATTTGCTATATATGTTACCTGGACTCGAAATTCACTGTTAACTTCCGCCACCACCTAAAAAGAATAAGATAATTACAGTAGTTAATTTTTAAGTGAATGCTTTATAATTTATGCTATCTAATCATTAAGAAAAGATCAAACAGTAGTCTGCAAGTCATTGGAATTATTTTAACAGTATTAGGAGTGTTGAAGAGAAAATCTTGTCCTAGGTGACAGATGGGCCTCCCTCATTTACCTCTCAGGTCTGATTGTCATGCCAAGAATTCCTCTTGATTTTGCCTTTCAATTTTGCTTTTTTTCATCAAAATTATTGCTTTCATTTTTAGTCCTCTTTTCTTTCTTAGCCTATGAAGATACTTGTTATCTCTATGAGGGAGGATGTCTGAAGCTAGAACCCAAGACAAATGAAGGTGGGAAACTTAGCTCTCTCTAAATTTTGTGTTTGCAGAGCTACAGAAGTTATGATCCCATTCAACGATGGCTAACAATAAGTTTTAACATGAACAGATCCAACTATAGTGTCAGGATCTGAACAACCTTAGCTAGAAATAGAAAAAAATATATTTTAGAGCAAAGAAAGAATATGAAACTGAAAACTATCCACAAAGCTACAGAGTTTCGGCTCCTTAACTTTCCAATTCTAGATGGAAGATTTTTTTGGTATTCCTAAAACCCTGAAATTGATCATTCTTTTAAACTGTTTTTGGAATATGAGAATAAAATATTCTAAAATAAAAGCATATTATTTTAGGTAAGAAAGAGTTTATATTTGATATTTTATTGTTAGTAGGAAATAAAATAGATGGTATAACTACATCCTTCCCAGCAAGGAGAGGGAACTGAGGAGTGCAGGAAAGAACATCTGGGTAAACAACTTTCACAGTCTTTTCTCCTATATTAAACAGTTCCCTTAGTCAAACAGAGGTGCCAGGCAAGCGGAGCCCAGACTAGTTTCAGCTTTGGCCTTTATACATGATTTTAAATGAGAAATCAGGATTGTTTTTCTCTGAAACTACAGGTATTAATAAAAGTATGGCTGGCTGGTAGTGTGCCATGGAGTCGATTCCGACTTATAGCGACCCTGTACAGGGTTTCCGAGGCTGTGACTCTTTACGGGAGCAGAACGCCACATCTTTCTCCCCCAGAACAGGTGGTACTTTCGAATTGCTGACCTTGTGGTTCGCAGCCCAATTCGTAACCACTATAGACATTTGAATATTGAACTTAATGTATAAATATACTTTGTAAGACATTGTACAATGTAACCTAAAGCTTAGGTGTGAATTGGAAGACTTGTTTGGGTTCATCAGGTTTTTAAATTGTATTTCAAAACTATTAAAGATGGTATACATTCTTAGTTTTTATTTCTCCCTATATAAGATATTTTCAATTTTTCATTGCAAATTTTCTAAAGTGGAGAATATAAAAGATATTATCACAATTAGTCTTTATCAGCATTACTGATATAAGCAAATTATATTTCCATTAAAAACACTAATGCTGATAATTAACAAATATAGTAAATCACTTTTTAAATTATTGGATTTACTTTCACTATTAATTGAAATATAAAATTATTTGTCTCTAAGTAGATATATTTGTTAAATTCCACACTTGATAATTTAAAAATATATACATTTATAGTTAATATGAGGTATAAAAAGATTTTTTTATTATTATGTTATTATTGTTAAGTGCCTTTAAGTTGATTCTGACTCATACCCACCCTGAATAGGTTTCCAAGGAGCAGCTGATGAGCTTGAACTGCTGACCTTGTGGTTCAAACCAACTTTGCAGTCCAGCACTTAAATCTACAGTGCCACACCAGGACTCCTATAACATCTATAATTTCCTTTAACTTTTTATTATAGGAACTATATATTTAATGTCAATCATTATTAGTATTACAATTTATTGAATGGTAACTAAATACTACACAATATGGTTAGAGAAATCCATGCATCCAATCTTCACAAAGGAGCTCTGGTAGCATAGTGGATTACAAACTGGGCTGCTAACCAAAATCTACCTGGGGCTCTGTGGGAGAAAGATGAGACTTTCTGCTCCCATAAAGGTTTCTAGCACTATACAGGGTCAATATGAGTTGGAACTGACTAGGTGGCACACAACCACCATCACCACCACCAATCTTCATAAGTACTTGTGGCAGATACTATTATCAGTGCCATTTTACAGATGAGAAAATTGAGGTTTGAGTATTAATTTATGTCTAGATACATTCCAAAACAATTCAGTTAAAATTGTTTTGAACTGAACTGTGTACCTGAATTATGGATTTTATAAGAAAGTATAAGATAGCCAGCCTATTAACCTAAATAAATTACTAGCTACTAAAACATGCTACAAAGAACTGATATGATGATTTTGAGAATTCAAAATTTTTTATTTTAGTCTCTATAAAATTATCTTTGTGATTAGGAATGCTCATATATAACAACAACAAAACTAAAATGGGAGGTGGGGAGAAGAAAGATAAGTCAGTGCCAGTAACTGAGGTGTTATTTTTATAGACAATCTCTGGATTAGAACTGAAATATGATGGCCATGTCAGTGTCTAATTCTTGTTTCTTGTAAACTCCCTGAGCCCTTTTCTCTTCTACTTTCCTGTTTTTGAATGTGGGAGAGAGTTGGTGGGATACCCTACATGTCTATTTGGGAATTCCTTCTTTGTAGTCACAGAATTGTGTTTTCATCTGTTATCTGTGTTGCAAGTTCCTCACCACACGGAAGTGTCAGTGACAACTGTTTATTTTGGAGAACTATGCCAGATGACTCATAAGTCTTTCCAAATTTATGAAGCTGGGTCATTCTTTTTTCCCATGAAAGGTGATTGAGGCAGGAGACCAAGTAGGTTTCACCTGAGTCAGGCTCTTGATGGTCATAAAAATACTGCTAAGTTTGCTTTAAAATATGATATGGTCATCTAACAGTTTGTTTTTTGCTCAGAGTTTAGTGTACATACTGAGACAATTTTACACAATTTGACAGGCAGTATAGGAAACTGAAAAGAGCACTTGATAGAGTTAGAAAAGTTTGATGCATTTCTAAAATTTCCAGAGCTTTAATTTTCTTATCTATAAAATGAAAGAAATAGAAGACATAACACTTCTATAGGTAATTTTTCAGTTCTAACACCGAATACCTGTGTGAAGTAAGAAAATATCGGTGGTGAGAAGGACATTATGAAAGTGTGGGTTTAAAAAATTACTCTGACAGCACTTGGCAGGAATGATGGGAAGAGGCAAAGATTACAGGCCACTAGCTGTTGAGAATCTCAGTAGAAAAGGAGTAGAGTATGTCCCAGTGCAATGCCAGCATGCCCTGTTGCTGAGGAGTTGCTGAGCCAGAACAGTAGCAGTGGGAGCAGACAGGGAATGATCAAGGGAGAGATACTGCTGATAGGGCTTGAGAGGAGATGGGATGTGCGAGTCAAGATAGGGAAGAATCCCAAGACGTTAGATGGGGAGATTTCAAATAAACAAGTAGCAGACTTAAGCAGAGTAGGCCCACTGATTTGAGATACCAAAAAAATGGCCAGGTAAAATTGCTCAGCAATAATAACAGATGTTCGGGATGAATCCATAGATTTGAGGCACATCTGCCCCACTGTGAGAGTTGGAATCAGATGAAAACTTTAAGGTAGAGAACCTAAAGTAGGGAATAGAGCAAAGAAACATCCTGTAGCCAAGGATCAACAAAAAGGAAACAGAAAGAGAAGGAATGGTCCATGAAGCACGAGGAAAAGCTAATGCAGTATCATGATGTCATGAGAAGGAAAATGTGAACAAGAGTCAGATGATACAAAATAGGAGAGCAAATGAATCCTAAGGTTTTCAATGATCTTCACCAAAATGCTTTAGTTAAACGGAGCAAGAACTTTCTTGACTGATGGGAAAGAGAACATCAAGGTGATCATTTTCTCCAGAAATTTAGTGATGAGAGGAAATAGAAAGGTGAGATGGTAGACTTAAATGTGTAATCATTCAAGAAAACATTTTGAAAGGGTAAGATCCATTGGTTTTTGAAAGGGTAAGATCCATTGGTTTTTGAAAGGCTAAGATTCATTGGTTTTTGAAAGCTGGAAAGGAAAGAGGAGAGGTAATATTTGATAGAGGTGTTGTGATGGAAAGAGAAGTAGGGAATCCACTGAAAGAAAGAACTTCAAAGACAAAGAGTAAGTAAGTAAGTAAGTAAGGATTGAGATTAAAATCCATAGATTAGAAGAGAGAAATTAGGGACTTCTTCATGAATGACTTAGACTTTATTCTTAAAGAAAGGATGAGATTATTTACTGGTTCAGAAATAATTTAGAATTTGTGTGTAAAGTGATGGAGATTTCCTTAGCAATGAACGTAGGGACTGTCTGAGTATTTCTTACATCTCTTGCCCATTGTCTATGGACATTGGGATAATTTGCTTAGTTATCATGTGTTTCAGTTTCCTTATCTGTATATAAAACTAAAGCCACTCCTGATTCCTAAATAGTCAAGGAATAATGTAACTGCACTGTTTCTTCAATGAGTCCTCCCTTACCTTTAGGAGTCAATCCATTTATTAAAAAACAACAACACAGTATACAAAAATGCATATTAATTTTAATGTTTTTCTAATTATAGTTATCTAAAGGTTTTTTATTTTCATATGAAGCTTATAATGATTTGCATATAGTAAAATGGACTTGAGGGTAATAAAGTCATTTTTTATAATAAAACTGTCTTGCATTTAATAATCGTGAGGTGGTATTCCACAATAGTTACTTGGCAGCTTTTGTAAAGCATCAAATTCTAATGTATTTGTAAACTCCTATTATAAATCACAAGGATGAATTTAGAGCAAATCTAAAATATAGTAAGTGGCATCCTTTAGAAAGTCTCCCTTTTTGTCTTTCCTTCATACTACTTCTGGCAAGGACATCAGTCTGGGTAGACAGGTCCTTAAAGGGTTGGTTTCTCTTACTAGTTCATTGGTTTATTTATTTATGAAACATGTATTGCTATGTGGATCCAAATCTAGATTAAAACTTTTAAAGGGGCCTAAATCCTAAAAATATAGTGGCAACCTTTGTAAGGAATCCAGCTGTGGGATAAAACACTGGACTACAAGATCAGTTTGAACCATAAGGTCAGTGGTTCAAACTCACTAGATGCATCTTGGAAATCCTATACAGGGTCGCTATGAGTCAGAACTGACTCCATAGCACTTAACAACAACAACCTCCATATAAAATGTAAATATAATACTACATCATACAAATAAACATTAGGGAAGTCCAAGATGATTTCCATGTTAATGCTTTGACAATTTTTTTTTTTTGAAGTGTGTGGGTGAAGAGAAATAGAAAATACCCCCAACTTCCCTTCTGGTCCCCTGCTTTGTGTGATTAGATGCCTACTGAACAATCATGGACTGCACTGTGGAAAGCCCAAAGGTGAATCAGACTCAGAACCTGCCCTCAAAGAACTTATAGTCAAGTAATTTTATGAGCAAAAGACAGCCCCTGGTTTGTGAAGAGATGGGTTGTTATTCTAAACCAAAGCAGTTGTCTTCAAGTGTTCTGACTCCTGGAGATTTCATGTGTTGCAGAGTAAAACTGCTCCAAAGCGTTGCTCCTTAGGTAAGTGTAAAGGACTGCATTCCATTCTCATGGAAAGCACTGATGAAAAGCATTGATCAGCAGCTGATGGTGTTTGACCTGCGTCAATCTGTTCAGGAATTTTCATGCCAAGCATAACCACAAAGATGGTACAACCCAGCACTCTGCTAAGGCGTTTCCTCAGTGTAAGGGAGAATAGTAAGCTCAACAGCAATGCTGAGCATGCTCCTTACTTGTACATTAGGCAATGACCTGTTAGGACACAGGGGTACTCAACAACAATGTGCTTAATAATGTATCATGAAGAAAGAGCTATCATAATTAGATGCTCTAGGATAGACAAGGCATTGGGTTGCTAACCACAAAGGTGGTAGTTCAAATCCTCCAGCTGCTCCTTAGGAGAAAGAAGAGGCTGTCTGCTCCTGTAAACATTCAGCAGTACTGGAAACTCTATATAGAGTCACTATGAGTTAGAATTGAACTGATGGCAGTGATTTTGGTTTGAGATAGACAAGCATGCTGTTTTTTCTGTATTTATGTCTCGTTAAATAAGTGAATCTTGGTCCTAGGGATAAAGACTTCTATCAGGTCACAATTGATGACACCTAACAACAATACCTAAATCAGGGATGGAAAAAGTTTTACTCTGTGACAACTCAAACCAACTGATAGTAACTTCCTGAAGTGTAATTGTTGAGAAGGATTCTTAAGTTTCCTCTACGTGAAATGTGGAGAATATTGTAATCCATCAGCAAAGTGGATACCAGGGGCAGGGTCATTCTCGACCAAAATGCTTCTTGGTTTAAGTTTGATAACTGTGTTATTCCTGTTTGAACTGTACGTCACACATTTCTTACATACATGAATGCAATGGTTTCTATAAATGTCAGATATTCAAGGATTTTTTGTAGTGAGGAAAGCTTGCATGATAAATTTGTACTCCTTTTTTTCTACTTAGAAAAGGTGAAAGAAGATGATGGTTCTAAATCTGGAGTGAAATAATATCTGATAGATGGAAAAGATTATTCTTAAAGACAGTTTACAAGTTTCATATCTCAGGTATGCTTCCTCCATTTTCTATAAAATATTTTACTGAAATGCTAATTTCTATAAAATATGTAATCACACAATGTACAAGAAAGCATAAATATTTTGAATTAAAAGGATGATGAAAGAGTCCTCTCTTTTACTGCTCTTCAGTGTGGTTTGTACTGATTTGTTAGGCCTTTAAACATCAGTGGACACAATTATGGGAATTTAGGATAACTGGCTCAGGTAAGTTGATGGCCTATGCAATAAAATGTGCATATGTATTTTTTTTTTTCTGAGTGCTGAAAAATACTCTGGAAAAACTCCTGCTTATATCCTCAAGAACTACAGCTAAGTCTAAATGACACAGTTTATCACATGGCCAGAGGGTTTTCTTATAGGAACTATCAATCCATGGAAAGTGGAGAAGATTAGTTGGTATGACAAACTGAAGAAATCATATCATTCTTGGTAACAGATTTAAAAGTATAGTTTTCTTGGTTCTTTGAACTTAAGCTGCAGAAGTTTGTTTTTATAGAGAAAAAGACCTTAAGATTTATAGTGATTTGAATGGAGTAATTTGAACTCATCAAAATGGTAAGTAATTTTCAGAAATCATTAGACTTACAGGGATTTTACTGGTTCTATTTTGATTCCCCACAACAATCGTGTCATAGCTTTTACTATAGTCATGACCATTCACCCAGATTTCTTATATTTGGTGCATAAGGTGACATTATCTTCTTTCTGTGGGATAAAGTACTGGACTCTAAGGTCAGTTTGAAGTGTTAGGTTGGTAGTTCAAACTCACCAGCCATTCCCTGGAATCCCTATACAGGGTCGCTATGCATCAGAGCCAACTCGACAGCATTTAAAAACAACAATCTCCATCCTCACACCTCCCTAATACAGTGATTTTGCAGAAGCGGTAAAGAAAAAAGTAAAAGGAAATTCAATGAAGTTTATTTAGCTGGCTATGTTACTGCAGGTGCAATTTATTGCCTGTCAATCCAGACTTGTCTGAATAATGAAATAGTCATGTAGCAATCTTTTCAACATTATAGACATTCTTCTGACTTTATTCTCCCTGATCTAACCTACTAATCTTAACAAGGTCTAAAATCTTTAGAAATGTTGAGCAGACTTTATATTATGCTTATGAACAAATAGTGCCCAACTCTCAAATGGATTTGCTTTAAAATTTAATGTCTTTTAATTTAAATGTCATAAAGCTCTTGGTATTTCCTAACATGGATTTTTTTCATTTATCAACTTTTAGCATTTCACATTGATTTGTTTTCTTTTTTGGTAAAAGCAAGCATATATCTGTGAGGTTAACAGAATAATATTGCTACAGAGGTGATTATCCTATGCAGTGGGAGGGGTAGAAAAGGGGGAGACAGGAATTGCTTTTAGAGCAAAAGAAATATTAGATCACTCCAAACAACAATTACCAATCATTTGGTTAAATCTGCAGTAAAAATAAATTATGGTTTGCTAATAAACCTTAGAAAGTATAATTATTTATTTTTTAAAAAAGTATGATGCCCATATGGGAATAGGATATTTTAATTTATATGCAGATGTTGTTGTTCTTGTTGTTAAGTGCCGTTGAGTCGGTTCCGACCCATAGTGACCCTGTACAGGATTTCCGAGGCTGTACATCTTTACGGGAGCAGAAAGCCTCATCTTTCTCCTGCGGAGCAGCTGGTAGTTTCGAACTGCTGACCTTGTGGTTTGCAGCCTAATTCATAACCACTATGCTACCAGATGTCCATATGGAAATAAGATATTTTAATTCATATACAGATAAGTTCTCTGAAAAATAATTCTCAGAAGAGTTACAAAAAGCTTGTGATGGATTCCAAGTAAAATATGGCAAAACAAATGAAAAGCTACCCAGACCCAGAAAATATGACTACCCAGAAATCTCTTTCCAAAGAAAGAAAATTCAATGAGAATACATGTTTTTGATAAAATGTAACATTTCACTGAAGGGTTACTAATTAGGAAGTAGTTGATAAAAGGTAATTTATACGATGAAATGAATGAGAAAGAATCATAGGAATCAAGAAGTAAGACCTATTTTACAGATTCAGTGAAAGTTACATGAGTATCTGAACAAACTTTAACCAACTGAATCTATAATAGGGCTAAATGAATCACATTTATACAAACTTAAAGGCCAAAGCTCTTGATGATATGGCAGTACACAAGTGCTCATATGTTCAAATGGCATCCTGTACAATGTGCATTGATTCTTACCACATACTGACCCTAAATCTCCATAAAAGAATCCATGAAATAGAACAGTTTAAAGAGCAGCTTAGCACTAACACTACTAGCTAATTGATGCACATTTATAACTAAATCTACCAATTATGACCTCTCTTAATTAATGAACTAAATGCAATCTAACTAGTGTACCTTGGATAAAAGCACTGACTTGTTATTATACAAACCCAACATTCCAGTTCAAAATTAAGCAAGTAGAAACAAATATGAGCTACAGCACTACCTCCTGCCAAGTTGGAAATTGATTTACCTGGCACCTGCTTCTTTGGATTACTTTAACCTTGTTGCGAGAACATTGATGAACTACATTGGTGTTGCATTTAGCATTAGCTCTAAAAGGAGAAAGCTAGTAATATGGTAATGGGAGAAAGGACAAAATATTTCATTGCATCTGGCCATCAATGTACAACTTTCATGTCACAGTTATTACTGACTTTCCAGTAATACGGAAAAGAGTAATAATTATACTTACTCCTTAATTATAGTCATCATCTACTATGTTATTTGACACCTCCTATACCACTTTTTTTTTAATTAAAAAAATACCATTTAAAATAAAACCACGATTTAGCAGTGTAGGGCTTTCTGTAGTAGTGGTGTGGATCCTAACCATATATGGAACTGTGAAGGTTGTTTGGAGTCCTGGTGTAGTGCTGTAGGATAAGTACTGTACTGCTAACCACAAGATTGGTGGTTCAAAGCCACTAGCTGCTCCCTGATAATCCTGTACAGAGTCGCTGTAAGTCGGAACCAACTTGACAGCACTTAACAATAACAACAACAGATGTTATTTTGATAGGATGCCCAGCTACAAACTGCTATGATTTTAATTTATCGGATCCTATTGAATCTATGTTTTATGTTTTAAAAATTATTGTGAATCTTCCTGAAAAGATACTAAAAGTGTAGAAAAAGATTTAGGTTAAAAATCAGCACATGCTTGTGATGTTTCTCTTAAAAGTCCACCTACAAAAGAGAATTCGAACAGTAAAGTGCTACTACGTAGTAATATGGGTTTCCTTAATCCAATATTTTCCCAGCATGACTTAGCACAGACTTGGAGATGTGATAGAATGAGTTGACACTGAGCATTAATATGATCTGAAGTCTTCAATTAAAGAGAGAAACGCTATGTAAAAATCTACTTCATAAAATCACCTTGTCATTAGCATAAACTTTTAATGAGTTTAGGCGAGAAATAACATTGAATAACATTTTCTAAAAAAGTCCTCGCTCATTTACAATGAGAACAATTGTGAAGGATTTTGGACAAGGGTCCACTTACCAGAAAAATGAATAGCACAGCAGCTGTTCTGAAGAAGTGCCAGTCCATTGCTGCTGTGTTCTTTTACATCCAAGACCAAGGGAGTTTTGTTTGTTCGTCTCTGTTCCTTTTCTTCCCCCCACTCAGCTGGTGTCTGATTAAAATCGTTTCTCAGTAGATGTTCTTACATGCAGGCTTTGAGGTGTTTCTGCCTTCCTCTGGGAGAAGGACTGACGGTACGTATAACCAGTCTGGATCCCCACCCTAAAAACTTGGGCTGGTCCCACTGAAATGCTTGACAAGATCATCGTTGCTCCCAGGTAAAAGCTCTGGGACACACCCTTCTTCCACCTGAAAAGCAACTCTCCACGGAGTACTAAAGATTCACTCCTTATCTGAATGTTTTCAATGGCAGGCATTTTAAGTGATCAAAATTAGAAAGAATCGTACAGTTGATAGGGACTTTCATACTGTGATTTACTTATAGATTTTCTGTGTGTGTTTCTTTCCATATTGAAATGAAAGTGCAGTATGGGTGGGTTTATCATTTATGTGGTCCATGCTCATTGCCAAGCCCTCAGATCACCACAGAAAATGATAAACTTTCAACCTCAGTAGATATTAGGAAAGATTCAGTGATTTTCTAAATTGATTAAGGGATAGATTTTCACTAATGTTGAAAGTGGGGAATATTTTATTTTATTTTTTGCTATTTATTTAAACAGAGAAATTAGAATACTTACATTTACAAGGTCCCCTCCATAGATCACAGTTTTCATTAAGTGACCAGCCTAAATCCAAGAAAGCCTCCATTTTCTCTGAAAATTAATATTTTCTCTTTGCAATGATCTTTCTTTGACAGATTCTGTTCCTTTCAAATGGGGGAACACAAAAGTTAAAATATCAGTAGGCTAGATATAAAGAAAATAATCGAAACCACCAATTAAAATCCTGGTGATAATTTTTGAAACAAGGTTCAGTGCCTCAAATATTAATGACAACACAGAAAGCTGTTCTTCAGGTGAGGTGGGTTAGAAGTCAATGACTGCTCCCAAGCCTAGAGCCAAGAAGCTAGATAGTGAGCCAATTAGAACATGGGGAATGTGCTGGAGAAATGGCTGCCCACACACATAGGAAAATGAATGCAGCTCTGAACTCTGTGAAAGTTACCTGTGAACATGTTCTTGGGATATTTTCTTTTCACCTGTCAGTATCTAGAAATATTGTCAGAGGCAGGAGGCCTGTGGATTCTGGGTGACTTCAGAGTTTGAAGTGAAAGTCTGAAACAGGAGACAGATTTGATAAGATGTTGATCATAGCCGAAAGGATGTTTAAAATTCCCCCCAAAGGTAGGGTATCTTTGAGGGGCAGAAATTCTAAAGAAAACCATCATTTCACTACAAGTGTGTGGCAAAAAATATTATTCAACTGTGGTTTGAAATTTCATGGCACTGATTATGAATCATGGAGGAAAGCAGATAGGCTGCCAAATGTTATTTGCAGTGAACAAGGATGCTTATAATGAAATTAGCTGATATGAATTAATTGATTCATCGACAGCAGTCCTGAATATAGAATGTTTTCTTTGATATTTATAAAGTACTGAAATGATATAAGATATCTGAGCGCAAACTCTGTGAGTGAGACAAAAACTATACAAGGCTTACACTAAACTGTTGGAAAGGATCTGCTCAGTTCGAATTTCTCATGAGTCAAATAGGATAGAATATGAATGTCAACCTATGATTTAGTATGAGCAATAGGTACTGGAGAGGAGAGGAACTGCTCTAGCAGCTTTCCAGTGGCAAGTGAATGTTGGATTCACCCTGGATTCTGGGCAGTGTGCTAGGGTGTGCACAGTCCCTCTTCATCCATGCAATGACTCTCCTTGAAGCAAGCCGAGCCCTGTAGCCCTAACTGAATATCCAGCACCAACAATCCCAGTCCGCTCAAGAATTCCTAAAGCAGCACCCCAGCATCTTTCCAGAAAGGAGGTGTGGTTGAACCTTAATATTGCAGAGCAATAGGAGTCTGGATGGTCACATGCTAGCTGGTGACTTTAAGCAAAAATGGGAGAGGGTGTTTATGAATTACCAACTCTCTCTCTTTGCCTGCTTTTTTCTCTTTCTTTATC